AAAGCATGACATTGTGCAATGAAAAAATATAAGTATCGACAGCCTGAAGAACCATAAGTGTTCATAAACGGATATTATAACATTTTTAGTGATGTATTAATCAGAAATAAAATCAACTTCAAAGCTCTTAATACAATGTCAAATTCAAGAAAAAGTTTTTTCAAAGGATTAATAAGTTTACATGGATCGTTTCTAAATCTACGAGCTCTATTAGCTGCATCACCATAAAAATCAGGATGTTATATCCCGTTGTTGATATCGTTTTGACAAGGACAGCCAAACTGTCAAACCAAATATTTGTATTTATAAAAAAAATTACCTAAGGGTTTAAGTAAATTGTCGTATATATTTGTATTGTCTGTCTTGTCCTCATTTTTGTTAGTTGTGTTGCCTGTAATTCGACTTATGAATTATGAATTTTATTAAACTCTTATATCTTCTTATCTTTATTGATTTAGTTATCCTTTTTTTCCTTTTAATACACACTTTTAAAACTGTTGTATATTCATTTCAATTCGGACGTCAACCAAAAACAGCTATATAACACAATAGATATAGGAAGATGTGGTATGAGTGCCAATGAGACAACTCTCCATCCAAGTTACAATTTATAAAGTAAACCATTAAAGGTCAAGGTACGGCCTTCAACACGGAGCATTGGCTCACACCGAACAGCAAGCTATAAAGGGCCCCTAAAATGACTAGTGTAAAACCATTCAAATAGTAAAACCAACGGTCTTATCTATATAAAAACAAGAAACGAGAAACACTTATGAACCACATCAACAAACGACAACCACTGAACGTCAGGTTCCTGACTTAGGACAGGTGCAAACAAATGCAGCGGGTTTAAACGTTTTAAAAGGTGCCAACCTTCAGCCTACCTGAAACAATAGTGTAAGATCACAACATAGAAAGACACAACATAGAAAAACATATGATAATTTATGTTATTTTCTGTCCAGATCAACCAATTATCTCTTGATTATTCAGAGTGAGATGAAAAGCTCACCGACTGACAATTTCACAATTGTCTGCTTGAAGCTAAACGACATCTTCCATTAGATTTAATCTTAAAAGAGGGAACATTCAAATTCGGACGCAGTGGTCGGATCAGGTTATATTTAAGGATATTCGCTACTCTTGTTTTTTTACTTTTTGTCAGATATTCGGAATCCTCTAGATTGATCCATATAGTTCCAATAAAATCTTGCCCGCTAACCCCTACTTTTGTTTTTCTTATTGTATAACATATAGTTTTAACATAAAACAAAAAGATGATTTGGTATCATTGCCATTGAGACAACTTTCCACCAGAAACCAAATGACATAGAAGATAACAACTATAGGTCACCATACGGCCTTCAAAAATGATCAAAACCCATACCGCATAGTCAGCCATAAAAGGACCCGTATGACAAACGTAAAACAATTCAAACGAGAAAATTTACGGCCTGATTTATGTAAAAAAAAAACAATGAACGTAATACAAATATGATATACAGCAACAAACGACAACCACTGAATTACAGGCTCCTGACTTGGGACAGGTACATACAGAATGTGGGGGAGTAGTTTAACATGTTAGCAGGTGCCCCCCTAACCTGGGACAGTGATGTAACAGTACAACATATGAACAAACTATAAAAATCAGTTGAACAGGGCTTAACTCATCAGATCGATACAAAGCAGAAAAACAAGTAACAAAAACACAGACCGGACGTGGCATGGTATTTATAAATCTCTACAACAACAAAGACACAAAGCACAGATCTGAAAGTATTCGCAATTACTGACAGCTAATTCAAAGCAAATAACAACTTATAAAAACTAAAGTATAAATTAATACATATCCAACACCCAATGGATTTAGTGTAAAGACGTCATTAACAGTCAGGGAAAAAACATGACTTTGGAAAAGCCTGTTTTGAAAATCTTTTAAAAATTCTTGTTATTTATTCATAATTTTTGAAAGAAAAAAGGTGCCAATGTTAAATGTCTTTAAAATCTGAAGAGAATCAATTCCCGACAAATTTTCAATTGCTTATATCTCAAAAACAAGGACACGAACTTTTCATTTTTTCTGCTTTTTAAGTTCCGTTATTTACAAACCATCAATTTATAACAGTCTTTTAAAAAGATTGTTATTTTGAAACAGAGAAGCGGACATCTTAATTGTGATGATGTTGCCATGCATTATGAATCTGCAAATCTAATTTTCAAAAGGTATAGTGCACATGGTTATAGTGAATTCCCGTTTGAATGGTTTTACACTAGTCATTTTTGGGGTCCTTTATAGCTTGCTGTTCGGTGTGAGCCAAGGCTCCGTGTTGAAGACCGTACTTTGACCTATAATGGTTTACTTTTACAAATTGTGACTTGGATGGAGAGTTGTCTCATTGGCACTCATACCACATCTTCTTATATTTATGGTATTTAAATTGAAAAAAACCTAAAGAATTAAAACTGTTCAGGTGTACATAGCACTAAAGTTAGCCAATAATTGGTAAGTCAACAGAACGTTTAATAGCAAGACAAAAAGTTGTCTTTCTTGACAAGTATTCGTTTGGAATATTGTATAACAAACATATTGTACCACTCTAAAAAGATTTATATAATACATTTTTTTTTAATAAAAACTGTCTCCTCCCTGATTCGATTTTTTGATCAAATCATATCTATGTATTTGATAATGATATTACGTCACACGAAGGTAAGGCCAAGAACTGGATCATATTTCCGCTTTCCAAAGGTAAATTAAATACTTATATCATTTTAATGTTTTTGAAACATATTAGATATTTTTTTTACAAAAAATAAGCAAAATTAACGTTTATCATTCATTATAATGTTATGAAGAATTGTACAAATAAATAAACAAAATACAATAAATCTATAGATATTGATGTTCAACAGAGTAATGTCTTATGAATATCTGATGGATATTATCTAGAAAATTCATTATGATTTTTTATTTTCGAATTCAATGGGCCAAACAAGTGTCCTTGTCATACTTTTTCCTTAAACGATTTTAATCTTTGCTGCCTATGAGTATAGGTTATTGGTTTTTTTAGCTTCATTCATATTCTAAATTGGCATCTTCATGTAACGTATGGTGTCAGTAGAGAAATTTAGATTGGTACGTTAGGAATGTGTTTGCCTAGCAATATTCTAAACGAATGTTACAAACTATAACTATAACCAACTGTTCTCGTCGATTTCTATATTTAGATACAAATGATATTTTTGTTATTTTTTTTCATATGTAAGAATGTTTACCTGCGAACTTGAAAATGAAAAGCGTCATTGCAGTTAGCGTGCTAAACATCATTTAAAAGGGTTCCATTTGCAAGGACGATAATTTTTTGTATAACTCTGGATTTACCGCTTTTTTCATCAAATTTGTCAAAGACTCTCAGGGTTTGTCATTCATTTTTGTCGTAATTGTACATTTAAAAGACAAATAAGCACTAGCCATATGACGTGACCGTTCTTTTTATTGCACAGACTTTATTTTGAATGTCAATGTGACCGGTGTGGTCTCGATCCATTATTGATAATAAATCGGGGCTATGCAGTGCTTGACATATAAATGTATTGATAAGACACTCTCTTGTCTAATCTTGAGCACCCATGTTGATCTCTAGATTGATCTGTTGTTGCTGTCATGTACTCAATATCCCATTTTCAGTATTTATATGGTAATGTGGGTTTCTTTATTACTTTTCGCTTTTGATAACGGGTTGTAAGGTATAACTGATTTGGTGGTATAAAGGTAAGTCATCTCTTCGAAGGTCTTACGCTTTAATTGAATAGGCATATGCTCCACTCGTCATTGCCACAATTCGTTCCCTCTTTCCATTTTCATTACGTGTCTCCGGAAGCGATTTACAACTGGTATTTTACTTGTCTGGAGCAACACAACAGCTGCAACTTACAGACAGGAACATCATTCCCTTCCGGAGTTTTAAATCTAACTATTTATTATTTTCATTATAGGATTTGTGTTGTTCAATCTTTAGTTTTCTGTGTAATGTTTTGTAAATAGGATAATAAGGAGATGCAGTTTAATTGCCAATGGTACAATCTGATTAAAGTCCGATGTTGTGTTACGCTACGTTGCCTGTCGGTGGAGAGTATCGTACCGAAAACTGTCAACTGATTTTAATTATATTGCTTATGGTACAAATACCCGAATGGCATCAAAGGACGGGGATGTAAATAACTACAGGTCACCGTACGGTCTTCAAGAACGCAAAGTACTTATGGAAGACAGCAACCAACGACAACCACTGAATTATACGGGTCTGACTGAATAGATACATAAAGAATGTAGCGGTATTAAACCTCTTGTTGAGCGCTCAACTCCCTCACCTACATGAAAAGGTGCTGTAACAGCAAAACCTAATTTCAACTAATAAAAAGAAAATTTTCACAGACTAAGATTCTTAAGATTGAAAATAGAAAAATTAAGGGGTACATAGCATTAAAGGGAGTCAAAACTTGGTAAGTCAACAGAACTTTTAATAGCTTGACAATATCACACCGCCTTTTAAGTTCAAAGTTTCGAAGCAGACGACATCTTTAGTGTTTGTTTTAGTTATCGTTTATGTAATGTATTTGCTCAGTGTTTGGTAAAGCTGTCTTTGTTGACAGGTATATGATTGGAATATTACATAACAAACATATTGGGTACCTCTTAAAACCTTTTGGGTACCCCTATAAAAAGACTAATATAGCATGAGTTTTTAATGAAAACTGTCTACTCCCGGATTTGACCTTTTGGTGAAAACATACCTATGCATTTTATAAAGACAGCATGTCACACGAAGATTATGCCAATAACTGGATCGTATTACCGCATTCCCAAGGTACAATGACATTAATTAATATCGTTTTAATGTTTTTGATACAGATGGAATAATTGTTTTACAAATAATGAACAATATAAACGTTTTATGATAATGCTATGACAAATTCTACTATTATACATTCAGATACATAAAAATACCAATCATTTGAATAATATTTTTTCCAGCACACAGATAAACTTCTAGTTAAGAAATGAAATATAACATCATGTTCTTTATGGTTGTGATTATTTCATTTAGAGAATGCCATTCTTGGTGCAGAGCGGAGCCAGTTTCAGGTAGTTAAGTTTGTTTTATATATATGCTTGCATTGTCGAATATTAACTGAGACAAGTGTAACAAAATCAATCGCATCTTATTTATCTTAAATGTAAGGAATTTCTGAATCCGGTAATATGAAACATGTCACCGTTAATTAATGAAAATGTAAATAATCTTCTCAATCAAAAGTTTTAAATCATAAGTTTGTTATTCTTTTTTGTTTTTTTGTCTTTGTTTTTTTAAAAATGTTTAAGGTTTGATTTTATTAAATTAAAACTTTCAATTATTTTTCTATTATAGTAAATTTACTATACATCAGAAAGTACCTCTGTAATGGAGTGTTCATCTGATTATAAAACTGGTTTAAGGTTGATACATGAAAGTTTGAAGATCTCGAACTCAAAATATGTACTTAAATCAAACTAACTTTAGGCCAAATACTCTGAAAAATGGAAAATATAAATATATTACCAAAGCTATTCTAAATTTTCGCATCCCATGGATGACTTGAGAATAGAAGAATGGTCACCTTTTGTCTTCTTCCGACAATCAGTAAAACTCTTACCAAAGTTGGGCGTCCTTTTGGCTCTGCTTGATGTATAGATACACAGCCTCGTGTAAAGAGAGGGCGGCAACGCTCCCTACTTGTTAAGAACCCTTGCAACAACTGTTTGATGGGTCCGTAGGTGGCCTGATGCAAGTCGAAATTTCTGACTCTTTCAAAAATACCATTATTTTCCAGGGGAAGTCCTATTTCCCGTCCTTTGTCCCGGACAACTCCTATTACAGGATCTATCTATTATATTTTTTTTGTTAGCATATTCATGTTGAACATGCATGAAATATTTTCCACTGGCCGTAAAGCAAACAATCAAGTAATCAATCTTAAATTTCTCAGTTAAATTTTGTATGTGGAAGTCTTGTTCCACTTCCTGGTCATGGTGTACTGAATCGGTCAATCCGGGCACTGTATGTAATTACCCATGCCTTAGCGTAACTGCTGAATTTAAATTCGAAATTATCTTTTACCAGTAATGCATGAAGCTCTTTTATTTTTCTGTCGAAATGTTCATTTTTAGTAATGATGCATATTAAAAGTATGACAAACATACTGAACTACAAAAAAAATCGAAGGTAACGTTGTTTAATTTGTCTTAAAGTCATAATTCGCCAATAAGCTATCCTAAGATTTTTCTTTTTTCTTGAAATTTGGATGTTGATGACGACAAAAACACCTACATTGAATTTAATAACATTATGCTTATTTATGACGATAAAACATACAAAATTGCAAGAAACCCTATATCAAAATCATTGACTTTGCCTATCTACTGATTTCTAGGTACTTTAAACAAAATCTCATTAAACGAGCTTAGAAAAGATGAGATTTGACAAGGTTTTGTCGCCTGTAAACAGCGAGGACAAATAAAGATAAAATTTAAGATTACGTATATTGTGTTTATACTAAAATTTAATGTTTATAATTAAATATAATGTAAATACATTACGAAAATATTTTACTTTCAATATTGAAAAGAAATTTATAGCAGGTCAAAATCGCCACGAGTCTCGGAACTTTTAGATGTCAATGGGGCAGTTAAGGTTCAACTTAATATTTGTTTTCAGCTCTCCCTGTTACATAAACGCTGGGTAAAGAGAACACTATGTGCGTCTTTGTTTCAATGAAAGCTAAACGTAATATCTATACTGGACATTATTAAGGAAAGATTATAGATGTATCACTAAAAATATAAAACCATACATATAAGTATATTCATAATACATGTTAATCAATTTCGTTTCGAGTTAAATAGAATTTACCTTGATTTAACGGAGGTTTGTTTTTCTTTCAAGAAAATTCCCTTGGGTGTAGCTATAAAGGTAACTTCATACGAAAAGGATGGACCAAAAGTTTTTACCAGCCTGATTGTGTTAAGTGCAGCTGTTCTAAAACAACGTTTTCATGTTGTTCGTAAGTCTTTAGACACTGAAACTCTTTTAACAAAAATATTCTGGCGATACAAATTCATCGAAAGTCATGACTTACGAGTATGTTCACTCATTCAATTTTTTTGTGTGAAAAGGGTCACAGGATGACATATCAAACAGTGGAATACGGATGATGACAGATTAAAAAAAATAGTATTATACAAGATAAATGATATTTCATTCAAAAATCAACAGCCCCGAAAAATGAAAAGATAGCAACAAATTTGATTTGTCATATATGTAAAATATTTGAAAAACTTTATTTATACCTTTCTTCTAAATCAATTCCAGACCACAATCGAATTTAATAGATTTGAAAACTAAATATAAAAATAAAGAAGATATGGTTGATTGCCAATGATACAATAAGCTTAAGAGACCAAATGACGTAGACGTTAACAACTATATGTAACCGTACAGCCTTCAACAATGAGCAAAACCCATACCACGTAGCAAGCTATAAAAGGTCCCAAAATGACAGATGTAAAACAATTCAGACGAGAAAATTAACGATTTGATTTATATATAAAACAATAAACGGATAAACAGCAACAAACGCTAGCCATTGAATTACTGGCTCCTGACTTTGGACAGTTCACTCAAACTTGGGACAGTGATGCAAAAAGTAAAATAATAAAAATACCGAACTCCAAGGAAAATTCAAAACGGGAAGTCCCTTTTCAAATGGCAAAATCAAAAGCTCAAACAGATCAAACGAATGAAAACAACTGTCATATTCCTGACTTGGTACAGGCATTTCTTTATGTACAAAATGGTGGATTAAACCTGGTATTATAGCTAGATAAAACTCTCACTTGTATGACAGTCGTATAAAATTCCATAATATTGACAACAATGTGTGAACAAAAAACAAACAGACAGAATAGGTAAAAATGTCAAAAATAGGGGGACAGCAGTCAATATTGTGTTATAATTTTAATAACTATAACAACAAACAAATATGTCAACAAAGAAAAACTAAATGGCATATAGACAAAGCACATAAGCAAAAATGAAAGACAGGGATACAAAAAAATGACCATAGCACAATAGCAACAGCAAAACACAAGAACAGCCTGTACAAAACAATAAAGGAAAAACAAATATAAATTACAGCAACAAACGACAACCACTGTCCCAAGTCAGGAACCTACAGAAAGTGGCGGGGTTAAACATTTTTCAGGGCACTCAAGCCTCCCTCGCATGGTACATTGGTGTAACAACACAACATAAAATCAAATCAGTTAAAATTGGCGCTAAACTTGATACAGGGTACACTAACAAAACACTCAAGACACATAGTACAGATCTGATAGTACTTGCAGTTACTGAAACAGGGGAGAAAGATACCAAAGGGACATTCAAACTCATAAGTCGGAAATAAACTGACAACGCCATCTAAATAAAAAAGACCAACAGACAAACAATAGTACACAAAACACAACATAGAAAACTAAGGACTGAGCAACACGAACCCCACCAAAAACTGGGGGTGATCTCAGATGCTCCGGAAGGGTAAGCAGATCCTGCTCCACATTGGGCACCCGTCTTGTTGCTCATGTTAGTACAAACCCGGTAATAATTCTAATTGGGTAGGTCACATTCGGGAAAAGGGGACGGGATTGTAGTTACGACATTAGGAACATATCCACTATCATCTGTGAAAGCTAGTTCAAAGCAAATTAAAAAAAGCATGTATCTAAAAAACTAAGAAAATCAATCAGAAGACAGTCAATAAATTTAGTATAGAGATTTCATCAACAGTCAAAGAAAACATGATCTTGTGCAATGCCAAAATGTACGTATCGACAGAATGTAGGACAAGACTATTTTCATGAATTTTGGCGAACTATCTGTCGATTTTCAGTTATTTATAATTTTGCTACACCTGAATAGAACTGGTTATTCTCAAAACTCTGTAACACCTTGAAGAAGTCTATTCGACGACCATTTGATAGTCTGGGGGAGGCCAGGAGGATTTTTTGCGGATTAACTATACATTTTCATCTGTTGTCAAGCATGCTTAATTTTCTTCTGCGATGTGCCGCGCAAAAAATCATTTTCACTATTGTACACATATATTTCCTGCATTTTTTGTTGCAGAATATTCATTTTCATCCTGTCTTGTGTGAAGTTAGTCGCTTTAAGTTCTTACCTGGCCAGGTTACTCATTTTTAAATTCTCCTCCCCCAGAAAATCAAATGGTCGTCCATCTACTATTTTTTAAAAAAAAATCTTTTCAGTATGCTTTATATAACAATAATACAAGGCAAATGTACATTAGTGTCTTCAGGTGTATTGAGACAATTTTGGATCTTTTGACGTATGATATTTGTTTCAAGATTTCAACATAGATGATCATTTGCAATATATGTATTAATTAGGCGGAAGATACCAAAGGTAGATTTAAACTCTTATTTGAAGAGAGAATAACAAAATCATGGCAAAAACAAAAAAGATGAACAAACAAGCAGTAGTCTACAAAATAAAAATGAGAATGGAAATGGGGAATGTGTCAAAGATAAAACAACCCGACCAAAGATCATCGTGTATTTAAATAATAGGCCTATATGGAAAGTCAAAGAAATGTGAAAAGAAAATTGTATGAATATATCATTGTAGAATAGGCATAACAATAACAAGCGTGGGGCCAGAATGTAAAATTGTTCAGGAGGGTTGTACTCAACGAGCAGTTTTGAAGTCGGATAGCAATAAAGAATGTTCTACGGTCACTGCAGTTGGCAGGTAAACCAGTGGGACCCTGATTCGTTATTGGCGGAAGCGTTGTGGTATTTAGAATCAAAGCCATGTTCCAGACCGTATGACACTTTTAGCATGATAACAATATATATAAGCATATATTAAAGAAGAAATTACATTGTGTTGTTGGAATCAAATTTAGCCATAACAAGTTAGTTACGACCGTACCGGTATATGTTTGTAATAGTCAAATCTATGTTCCGCATCAAATATGTGTTATTTCCTCTAAACTGTGCCCTATTCTATATTGTGGCGTAGATGTGAAAAATATATGTCCATTCTTTTCTCAAAACTGTGTCCTCTTTTACACGGGAGCTTACAGTGTCTAGTAATAAAAAAGTTGTATAAGAATTTTTCATCTTTCAGTCAGAAATAAGCCTTATTATCCAATTTTTCTTTTTTCTTTTTGAAAATAAAAATAAATTTATCAGTGAATGCAGTTCAAATATAGTTTTTTCTTTCAATATACACGCGTTAGTCAAAACACTTTGTGAGGGTTTGTCGAATATGTATAACGAAGCCTGGAAAATCAAACGGTAAAATTGATTGAAGATCGTAGTTCAAATATTTACAAAACCTTGAAAGGCTATTTTAACTTTTATTTGTGACGCTTTCCTATGACGTAACAATTATTTTGTCTTAAAAGACCATTTTTCAAAATGTTTTGCTGTGACGCCTTCCTACGTCCAGCAAAAATGTAGAATTTTAATATATTTTTGTGATACCTTTTTTGAAAACCATTGACATTCATCTTTCAAGAGATTAAAAAAAATATATATTCATTTCACTTCATTTTACGATTTTTTGGAGTCATCATATTTTGACCTCCCTCTTTAATCATGCAAAATTGAACCCTCCACCTTTAAAAAATCAGTTCCAAGTCAGAAGCCAGTTATCAAATGGTTGGCGTTTGTTGCTGTATATCATATTTGGTTTCCGTATATTGTTTTATATATAAATCAGGTCGTTAGATTAAAATTTAAATTGATACATTGTAATAGCATTAATATGAAAATAAGGAGATGTGGTATGATTGCCAATGAGACAACTATCCACCAAAGTTCAAATGAAGTGGATGTAAGCAATTATAGGCAACCGTACGGCCTTCAACAATGAGAACAACCCATACCGTATGTTCGGCTATAAAAGGCCCGACATGAAAAATATGAAACAATTCAATTGAGAAAACTAACGATCTAATTTATAACAAAACAATTTACGAAAAACAAATATGACAGACATGAACCAACGACCACCACTTAACTACAGGCTCCTGACTTGCGACAGGCACATAAAAATGTAGCGGGGTTGAACATGTTTGTGAGCGCTGAACCCTCTCCTCACCTTGAACAGTGGTGTAACAGTACAACATAAGAACAAACTATAAAAATCAGTTGAAAAAGGCTTAACTCATCAGATGGATACAAATAGAAATACATCTTACAAAAACAGAGTGGACGTGGACGGGAACTTATATATCCCCAAAACAAAAATACACTAAGTACAGATCTGAAGTTATTCGCAGTTACTGACAGCTAGTTCAAAGCCAATAACAACTAATGAAAAAAATCATGCATCTAAGATTAAAATATCAATCAGTACACATCCAACATCCAATGGATTTAGTGTAAAGACGTCATTAACACTACTTTAGTTAGTTACAATTCTGCAATAAGTATCTTGAATGAAAAAATAAAAGATGGAAAAGATTTCACAACACTTTTTCTTAGCCATGATATTATGACCCCCCCTTTTTCCTACCATGGATAATTTTATCCCTATCCTAAGAGGTCAAAATTTCTTTTAATAACAGCATTCACACTATTTTAACTAGCTACAGTGCTGAAGAAGGTATCTTGAATGAAAACATTAGTTTCAAAAGATTTTAACAAATTTTCTTAGCCATTTTATTTTGACCTCCCTTAACATGGAAATTTATCCCTCTCCTTATAGGTCAAAATTTTTATTTACACCACTTTGATTAGTTACAACAGTGACGTATATACCTTGGGCAGCAGAACAAGTGGTCAAACCGCCTCGTCCTAGGAAGATCAAACAAGAGGCAAACAGATATTCCTTTTTAAGGACAGTCCAATGCTGGAATTTCATACCAGTCGGCACTGTTGCTTCAGTCAACATAGGGAAGTTTATGATTAATCATGGAGTTAACCCAACCAGTTACTAGACAGGGACCCACTGTATATAATTTTAATTGTAAGAATAGCAAAATGTTTTTTAAAGAAGATAGACTAGGGGACTACATCTGTGTACGCCTGATATGAGTAGCCTGACTTAAACTTAAAGCAGTCGCAATGACTCCTGTTTAAGCCGGAAGGAGTATTAAGGTGATCTAAAGTGAAAAAAATGCATATTTTTTGTCTCTTTTTAAATATATTCTATACATTTATAGGCCTATTTCACAAATTCTTGATTGACTGTATATCTGAAAGAATAAATGCTGTTACTGCATATATTTGTTCATATTCAGATGCAGTAAACTAGTTTTAAATGCATTCAAAATTCGGCAAAATCCGGACTAGAGCCCAATTTCTTACATTTTGTCTTGGTACAGACCGAAGTTAATGCAAGGAAGGAATTACAAAATATTAATTATAGAACCATACAAGGAATTGCCATCAAGCTTCAGATGATGTGTCATATATGTCAATAAATTTGTCCCAAACACAACTATTACACATCTGAATTTGTAACAACTGACCATATACTAGTGTTTACAAGAACAACAGTTAGTATTAATTAGATATAGGAAGATGTGGTATGAGTGCCAATGAGACAACTCTCCATCCAAGTAACAATTTATAAAAGTAAACCATTATAGGTCAAGGTACGGCCTTCAACACGGAGCATTGGCTCACACCGAACAGCAAGCTATAAAGGGCCCCAAAAATTACTAGTGTAAAACCATTCAAACGGGAAAACCAACGGTCTAATCTATATAAAAATCATAAACATGGAGCATCTTCTTCATTCCCAACCCCTACAGATTTAAAAAGGTTTTACTTTGGTAACAAAGGGTTACAATTAAAATTAAAATTAAATTCTGGGTTACATTGGTTGCTGTTTTTACGGTTTTCATAGGTGGCATCATTTCATTCCTTAGTCCAGTAACATGGTTTAAAAAAATCAATAAAATTGAGAATGGAAATGGGGAAACATGTTTTTGATGGCTTAACTATCCCCTTCCTGAATAGGTTGCAACAGCTAATTCAAAACCAAATTTCAAATAATAAAAAAAAATTACCAGACTAAAATATCACTTAATACACCTCCGATTGGTTTAGTGAAGAAACTTCATAAGCAGCCTGAGAAAAGCATGACCTTGTGCAATGCAAAAATATAACTATCGACAGCATGAAGAACCATATTAAGTGTTTATAAATAGATATTATAACATTTTTGTAGTTTGTTGAAATCAACTTTCAAACCAAATATTTGTATCTATAAAAAAAATTAGTAAATGTTTTAGGTAAATTGTGGTAACACATATTTGTATTGTCTGTCTTTTCTTCCTTTTTGTAAGTGGTGTTGCCTGTCATTCGACTTATGAATTTAATTAAACTCTTGGTATCTTCTTATCTTTATTGATTGATTTATTTATCCTTTATTTCATTTTAATACACACCTTTTAAAACTGTTCTATATCTATTTCAATTCGAACGTCACCCAAAACAGCATATGTTAATTATATGTAATTTTCTGTCCAGATCAACCAATTATCTCTTGATTATTCAGAGTAAGATCAAAAGCTCACCAACTGACAGTTTCAAATTGTGTACTTAAAGAAAAAAAACATCTCCCGTTAGATTGAATCTTAAAAGATTGAACATTCAAATACACACTTTTAAAACTGTTCTATATCTATTTCAATTCGAACGTCACCCAAAACAGGATATGTTAATTATATGTAATTTTCTGTCCAGATCAACCAATTATCTCTTGATTATTCAGAGTAAGATCAAAAGCTCACCAACTGACAGTTTCAAAATTGTGTACTTGAAGAAAAAAAACATCTCCCGTTAAATTGAATCTTAAAAGATTGAACATTCAAATTTCGGATGCAGTGGTCGGATCAGGTTACGAATGTTTGCTACTCTTTTTTACTTTTTGTCATATATTCGGAATCCTCTTGTTTTATCCATGTAGTGCCAATAAAATTGTGCCCGCTACCCTACTTTTCTTTTCCTTATTGTAGAACATATATTTAAATGGCATTTTTTTACAATCTAATAAAACTCTTGTGATTTTTTCATAGTTTTTGAAAGAAAAAAGGTGTCAATGTTAAATGTCTGTAAAATCTAAATTTTTGGTGAAAACATATCTATATATTTGATAATGATAGCATATTGCACGAAGATAAGGCCAAGAGCTTGATCATATTTCCGCTTTCCAAAGGCAAATTAGTTATTATTATCGTTTTAATGATTTTGAAACAGATTGGACATTCATTTCAAAAAATAAAAAAAATTCATGTTTATCATTTATTATAATGTTTTGACGAGTTGTAAAAATAAGTATACAAAATTCGGACATTTCAAAATGCCTATCATTTGAACAATATTTTTCAAGCACACATATATTATCTAGTTTAACAATGAATTCTAACATCATGTCCGCCGAGGAAAATGTTGAAAGTAAAACAAAAAACTCACTTTTGTAGTTAATTGGTTAAAACATGAGACATACTAGTTGTTTTCACACCTACTCAATTTAGAAACTGTCTTTAAAAACAAACATTGATCGAATGTCTCTTGACGTGATTCGGTATTTATGCATCAAGCTATCGTTTTTTTTTTGTGTGGCTTTTTGAGGGGTTCAAAGGTGCGATTCGGACGTAAGAGGTTTTTACAGTGTTGTTTCCATTTTGGTAACCATTGTCTTTATATTTTACTTAATTTGTACTTTATCGAAAAAGTGTATACTATATACTGTATGTACTACCAACTACAAAAACGTTTTTGTTGGCATCTTCATCAGATTTACTATCAACTACAATAACTTTTGTTGGCGTATTTGTTAGATTTATTTGTATGTTTGTTTTAAATTTTTAGTCAGTTGTGTTGATTATCTGTGATGTATAATAATACAGTTTTGGCTGCTG